TTAGATTTGGTATCAACTAGACTTTGCCGTGAGTTGTATGTTGTGACAAGGAAGGGGTTGTGGCTTCTTCTTATGGCATGATGATAATCTTAGGCAAAGATCGAAGGAAGTCATTAATGACCTACTAGGTCATCTTGAAAGGTTAGAAGAAGAGAATGCAACATTAAGAGGAAGAATAGATATTGGTGGTTATAAGGTAGAGATTGGTAGCATCCATGAACAACTAAAGAAGTTGAAGGCAAAAAGAGGGAGGAACGAAATAAAAGTGAACCACTTGTAAATGAAATTAAAGATTGCAATCACAACATTGATATGCTCATAGATTTTCTTTGCATTCTGTAAAAATTCATGACTAATGTGTGAAAAGTGTGTAACTCCTATTTATTTTATTAAAATTTCAAACCCCCTGTTCATGTATGTTAAGTAATGAATTTAATTTTGGAACCCCTGTTTACCATATTGTCTTAAATGAATGTGCACTATGTAACATACATTTTAAATGACATTGTAACTTAAAATGAAGCTAGTTGATTCATTAATTACTAATTTAAAAGTATAGTGTTTGAACTTGTTACAAATAACCATACTTGACCTAATTAGATTCAAAAGCATAGAAGTGACCACAACCAACTAAAGTGGCCATAACTAAGTTTAATAATAAGTCATTTATATACAACCATATTAAAAGTGGCTATAAGTACAAGAGTCCTCAAGGACCTAATCTAAATTCCTCCTCGTCTTGTCTTCAATTTTTGCATCCCAAGCCCCTTGTGTTTGAGTGACTCGAGGTGTGATATTGTGACATTATCATGTCCTGCCCATTTGAGTTCAGGTGCTTTGAAAGGAAGGTTTGAAGGTTGTTTGACATTTGATCCATCCCCATTGAAAGGTATTTTCCTCAAGGTACTTGTTATGGAGTCTCTTTTCATTTTCTGCTTCCTGAGTTGCTTTTCATTTGGGATGAAAAATCTAGTTTTAACATCTGTATTGTCAACCATATATTTTGATGTAGTCCCCTGTTCAATAACAACCTTAGAACTATGACCAAGCTACACAAATAAAACACAAATGTACAATAATCTAAATTAGCAATTGACAACACTCAAGTGAAAAATCACAATAAACAAGAGGGAAAAAATAACATTATATATTGTCTATCTAGTCTATAAATCCACACTGACACTAAAGCCCATCTCAATCCTTAGCCTATTTATTGTCCTACTTACAAGACTATAAGTTGGCTAAGTGTTTGCATGTGGGGGTGGGTTTGCATTTAGCGTTAGGACTTGTGTAGTTGTAGGTGGAACAATCATAGGAGGAGGGGTTATAACAATCTCATTGACTTCGCACTGTTAAGTCATTTGGAATTAAGTCACTTGTGTAGTTATAGGTGGAGTCATTGGATTAGTCACAGGGGTTGTCCCAGCCTTCTTTCAACCTCTTGTTTCAGCTTTATTAGTTTGGGGAGGTACCTATAATCAATTTTTCATAGTTAATAGAACATCATGTTACGGTTAACAAACCATTTAAAAGAGAATTAATATTAATACAATTGTACCTTCTTGTAAGTGCTCTTATTGTGACAAAATTCATGACAAGTATGGCATTTTTGTGCTTCTTCTCTCTTGTTTATTTTTTCTGGAATGGGTCGTTGGATTTTAGATAAAGTAAAACCCTTTGTGATGTTTGTTTCACCCCATTGAATTGCATGATATTTTTGCCTTCTTTTTATTGTTTTTTTAGTATTGCCTCTTTTTGTCTTAGGTCTTCCAAGCATTTTCTTTATTGGAGCTAATGTTATTAGAGTGTGCCTCTCAATATTCCAAAATTGCTTTCTCCTAACAAGTTGCAATTTAGTCTTATAACTTGTAATGTTTGTGTCTTTATGGTAGTAAGCCAAAATTTAGGTGGTAAGGTCTATCTTAGCATGGTACATGGCACATATTGCATATTGGCACGGGATTCCAATTAAATCTCATGCTCGACATGTGCATAATTTAGTGTTAAGGAATATTGTGTGCCTATCCTAATCTTCATTCACCTCATAACCCTTATCCTTATTAAAAAAAACCCTACATCCCATAACTAAACCTATATTTTCTTAAAATAACTTAATGGCCTTAAGATTATAATCTCTAATCCACCTTGCAACTGCCTTATCACTTTCCACCCACTTGGTCACATTCTTCAATCTTATCCCATCCTATATTCTAATGACAAGTAAGTATCTAAATTCATCTATTTTACTAGCATTATTATCTACTACCTAACTTTTATATTTATTAATAAAGTAAGTCCTTATCCATGTTTGAAGAGGATAGGATACTAAAGCCTTTGCTACCTCCTCCCTTAAACACCCAACAACCTTTAGATTATCCTTGAATTGTTCTTCAAAAGTACTCTAAGCATATATGAAGAATATTTTTTTTCTGCTCTTCTCCTTTCTACTTTTTACTCTAATTGGCATATATGTGCCTTGCACATAAACAATGCTCTGCTTGGGGAAAAACTTACCTAACAGCTATAGGAAGTCCTTATATAGTATCAATTTAGTCACCCATTAAGTAAGATAAGTCATATCTATCATAGAGAAATTCAAATGGTTTTGCAAGAATTGAATGAGGTTACCTTTTGCAAAGAGAATAATAGAGATTCAATTAGTTTTGTAAGAATTAAATTAGGTTACCTTTGCATGTCAGACATTAGAGTCACAGTTGACCCATCTCCAAACTCAAGTGAGTTTTGTATCCACTACAAGAACCATCTCCAATTTCTAGTATTCTCTTTACAAGTCAAGCCAAAAGCTATAGGGAAGAAAGAGTCATCTGCATCTAGGCCGCAAGTAGTAAGCATAATGCCCTTAGCATTCCTTTTCAAAAAAGTCCCATCCAATCCTATAAACGACTTATATCCAACTTTACATCCAACCTAACACACATTGTGCATAAGATGTAGAACAAAAGCTCCAAACTAACAATACAAAAAAAAATCATGATACAAGAGTTATACCTTGCATGCATTAAAGTAAAGATACATGTGATTGAACACATTATTACCTCTATCCAGTTCTTCCTTGCTTAGTTCCAAACTTACATCAGACTTTGGGTTTGAAGCTCTTAATTCATTACAATAAGCCTCAAGTTTTGCATATTCATTTATGTAGTTGCCTTCCATTTCTGTCATGATCATCCTCTTTACCCTTTTACATTTGAATACGCTGACACTTAACTTTAAGTTTTGTTTCAAGTCCTTCTTCATATCAGAAACCTTATATTGTGGCCTTTCTTATACCTTGTCTTTGAAATTGCTAGCAATCCACTTTTCATATGCCCTAGGATTCTTAAAAACCCTAAGGCATCTGTGTTGTAAACAAATGGTCTTGACTTTTAGACTTGGATTACACCCATCATTTGCTGCATAAAATAGAAAGGGATAGCCCACTTCATACTTAGCCCAGATCTTATATGGCTCACTCTTTATTAGTTGCAACTTCACACCTTCATTTATGGCATCATTAATAAGGGCTTTTTTTGCCTCATCTCTGTCTCTAAATGTCATTCCCAACATAAAAAAAGGCCTACTTGAGTCTATGGGCCCTTTCACCTCATGGATAGGCCAATCATTCTCTTTTGGCCCAATTTCTTCCTCTTCAAGGTCCTCACTATCTTTGTCACTTCCTTCATCTTGTCCTAATGTCTCATTGAAGTCAAAGTCATCATTGCTTGCTTCTCCACTCTCACTTTCATCTTCACTCTTACTTCCTTCTTCACTATCATTCGCACTGTTTTCATGTCCAGTAATAGTATCATTATCAACTTCATAGAACTTCTCACACTTAATATAGGCATCAACACAACATGAGTCCGAGTTAAACTCCTCTACATCTATTGGGTCATCCTTTTCTACTCAACAATTACTTCTTTACCTTTTCCTAAATCATGTTTCACATCCCCTAAATCCTTCTCAACCCTTAACCTAGTGATGTTAACAATTTTCTCCACACTACCCTCCCCTGTTTTTCCTTCCTCATCACTAGGTGTACTAAATAATTGTTGATGATGATAAAGCCAAATATCCCTAACATTTTCTATAGCCTCATGTACCTGAACAATAAATGGCATGTCATCGTCTCTATTAGACTCACTATTGCTATCATCTTCCCTTTCACGATCTTCAAAACCATCATTGTTAAACTCTTCCATGTCCTTGTCTGATCTATCCGGTTTGTCATCAACATCACTCATTTCTATTTAAAAATAAAGATCTAAGCAAGGGCTATTGTGCAATTTCATAATCAAAAGTGAACTAGCCCAAACCTTTAAAGCTTCAGATCGAAGTTTCTTACTTGTAGCTAGTCGACAAATCAATGTCTCTACCTTCATTCTTGATTGACCCAAGTTGTCTCACCTTTAATCTTGAGTTCTTTTGATAAATTTCAATTTAATCACTTTAGATCGCTTTCATCTTCGTATAGGGTTAATGAGTTTCCCTTTCCCACTTGCGAACATCCATTAGAAAAATTACTTTTTAACCCTTCTTATTTCAGTTAAGAGGTCAAACTATTTCTACATTAGCATTTTCGGTCATATTTTACTCCAGCTAAGCAATTTAATGCCAAGGTTAAGGAGGTGCTTAGAATAAAATAGGTTAGGGGCAAAAATGCTAATCGAAAAATGTTAGAGTAATGAGTACTATTTAGGAAAAGCATTAAAGGGCAAAAATAAACCTTTACCCTTAAATATATATATTTTGAAATTAAAATATTTTAGTATGTAATAATCTTCTCAACATTTAATAAAGACAAAAATATAAAAATAGATATAATAATAACAATTAAGGTATCCTATAAATATAGTTAAAATAAATATTCTTTTTATCTTATAAATTCGATCTGAAGCATATGCTAATTAGAGCAAACCCTAATGAACTAATTAAACCCTGAGTAATCAGCTATAATACACATGAACATTGTAATTAAAGAAGGAAAGGTGTGGGCGGAGCGCGTGGATGTCCATTTTCGGGGCATCTTGCTCTCTAAAACGTTACGTTTTATCTCATTTCACTTTATATAAAGCTTGGAGATCATACTCAGAATCGCTCCCAAACCAACACAAAAAAGACATCTTATTGTTGTTCATAACCATTAAGCCCCAAATTAAATCACCTTCATTTCCAGAAATTAAACCTCTCCCTTCTTCTTCTTCTTCTTCTTCTTCTTCTTCTTCTTCTTCGTTGTTAGCTTTCATGGCTTCATCGTCGGTCCAGAGCAATGATGCCATTCAAGAGGGTACTCTGCATCCATTTAACCTCTTTGATTTTGCGTTGTTCTGGTTTTTTATTTGATTTCCAGTTTCGAAACTGATTTTTTGATCTGGTTCAGTGAGTGAGAGACCTACACCTTTGGACCAGAATGTTCTGCAGAAACACGTCGCCTTCTTCGACAGGAACCACGACGGCGTCGTTTATCCTTGGGAAACATTTCAAGGTCAGGTCTTTCTCTCTTTACTTTCCCTCTTTCTCTAATTTTCTCTTAAATTTATTTGGTTTGAGGGAGGAGGGGAGGGAGAATTTTGACAGAAGACGGGAAGTATTTTAATATTATCTTATTTGATTGATGAAGGGGGAAGAGAAAAAATAATAACATATAAACAATTTTACTTTTTATATTATTAAAATTATTGTTTTGATAAAATATAATTATAAATATTTTTAACATGTAATTATAAATATACAAAGTAATTATCATTATTAAATATATTATTAAAAATTTATTATTGCTGAATTTGATAAAAAAGATATAAAATAAAAATTAAAATAAAAGACATATTAGTCATTGTATTACAAAATTATACCACTCACCTCCTGATTTCCCTAATTTGGAGGGAAGAGTTTGGAAAGAAGGGGGAAATTTTTTAAATTTTTTTCTTCCCCCTCTTTCATTTTTGCAAACCAAATAAGGGGAGGTGAGTAAAATCCCTCCCTTTTTCTCTCCTTCCTTTTTAACCAAACATATTCTTATGTTGTGTTCTTAATCAATTCAAAGAGAAATGATGCCTTAATGAATATCAAATCTACGTATATGAGATTTGTTTGAGTCTAATTCGTTGTGTTATTTTTTTTTGTTTTCTCGTTATGTTGTTTTTTATATATACTCCTTCTTATGGAAAAAGAAAAAGAGCAAATGTTTTTTTTATTTTAATGAGTAAATTGGTGAAGCCCAAAATACAAGAGATTAACTAATAATTATACGAGGGTATAAGTGCCCCTTACATCTCGATACATCCATTGAGAGAGCTTTTTAAAAAGTTTTATCAGAACAGTACATCCAAGATTCGAATTTTTACCATATTTACATCTTGATACATCCATCAATATACATGTTTTTTTTGTCCCCAAACACATGCCACATGGAAAATTGCCAATCATTGTCAATGACCCCGATAGTATGCCTCAACTTTCAAAAAGTTGAATCATTCTACTCAACAGCTTCATTCCACAAGTTACTTTTGTAGAATCACATTTGATAACAAGCTTGGCTAATTGCAATTCTCTTGCCACTTGCATCCCATAATAGACAATCCAAAGTTCAGCATCGACAGTACTGCATATACCCAGACTGGAAACATAACCCCCAGCCACTCGTGCGCCTTTCTCATTACGGAAAAGACCTTCACCTCCACTTCTATCCATTCCTCTTTGCACAGCTCCGTTGATGTTGAGCTTCACCCAGCCACTTGAACGGCATTCCCATTTGATCTGGGCATGCATCTTCCTCCTTGTTACAGTATGATCATTTTCGCTGCAAAGAGTAAATGTTTTAATTGCAAACAATTTACTCAAAACCAGAGGGTATATTAGTTCAAGATTAATAGTAAAAAGCGTAGTTAAGCAGTGATTAGCCTGATAGAAGAGGCTTGTTATCTCTTAAAAGATAAAAAGCAAAAAATAAAGTCAGGGAACTAGAAATTCTTAAACCTGGATTAGCCCATTGAATATTTATATTAAAAAAAGTGGGTTCTGAATGTTTATATTTCTAATATCTAATGTTTTATTTTTGAATTGGCCAGCTGTTTGGTTTGAGCTTTATTTTATAGAAAGCACAATAGAAATAAGCATGAGAACAACAATATTTTTTAAAATTGCCTATAAAAGTGAATTTTTCATAACAACATGGCAAAAGTTATAATTACCAAAATGATAGAAAATTAAATTTAATCCAGAATTTATATTTGTTTAAACACGAAAGATAAATAAAAAACTTTTTTATTTTATTTTTTACTTGACTAATTAAGTAGCATCGGAGTTTGACTAATTAGCAAGGAAGAGGTATAACTATAATATAATACTCCCTCCCCTCTAAATTATAGGATACTTTTGAAGGAGTTCATCCATTCCAAAATATAAGACACTTTAGGCGGATTAAGGACGAAAATTTTTTAATTTTTCCCATTCCACTTACTAAAGCTGGTTTCTTTCCAACTTTAGTGGAATGAGATTCTAATATAATTGAGGGAATCTGAGATTAATTTACACCCACACATATATTAATACTCCCTCCCTTCATTAAATACATCAATTTTAATATTATCTTTTCTCTTTCTATAATTATTTTTTGCCCCTTCTCTTTTCAATATATTAATTTATGAGTATTTTTAAAAGTTTATATTTTATTTTGAAAAGATATTAATAAGGTTTATTAATATGTAAAATTTTTATCTAAAAATGTCTTATAATTTAGAACGAAGGAAGTATTAATATATGTGTGGGTGTTAATTAATCTCAGATTCCCTCAATTATATCAGAATCTCATTCCACTGAGGTTGGAAAGAAACCAGTTTTAGTAAGTGGAATGGGACAAATTAAAAAATGAAAAATGAAAGCTCAAAATTACCCTCCATTAGCATGATGCCAAGGAATCATCTCTCCCGTTTCATATATACATATATATATATATATATATATTGAGGGCCAGGATAAAGGATTTCAAACAATACATTGTTGAAACTCTCCTTAAACTCCATGAAATCTGGATTCAAGAAATTTAGTTCTGGTTTATCATATTAATCCCATAACTAATTTGTATGGTAAACTATTATGTAAATCATTACTTACTAAGTTTAAGACAAAGAGTCATATTATTTAAAGAGAAAACACAATCTTTACTCATTATAGTTTTATCAGATTTTGTTTTTAATCCTTAAATTTTTTTAGTATTTTTAGTTCTTATATTTTTAGAAAGATTGAGCGACCTTTGTTCCTTAAGTTCTTATATTTTTCATTTTTTAGTAGTTTTAGTTTTTATAAAAATTGAAAATATTGAAAAAAAAATTGTAGAAAACTACAAAAAATTCAATAAAACTATAGAGATCAAAGATTATGTTTTTGCCTATTTAAAACATAAACTACATGATATTTCATATTAATTCATGGTGAGCGTTTCTGTATTTTTGTATATCTAATATAAACAAGGCCGTTTTAGGATAAGAAAATGATTGGAGATTTTTTTTTGGGTAATAAAAAGAGGATAAAACGTCTTTGTGGATTAAATTGCAGGATTTCGTGCAATCGGGAGTGGGCTCCTCTTGTCCACTGTGAGTGGTTTCCTTATCCATTTCGCTCTCAGTCAGAAAACCCGTCCTGTAAGTTCTAGCTCTTTTTTCCTGCTTCTTTAAATATAATGTTTCTCTGTATGTGACATCAATAAATAAATAAAAAATTGATATATATATTACATATTAATCTGAATTTAAGTTGGATTAGGCTCTAATCAAGTAGAAGTTTTATCAATATATATTTTTTCATTCATAAGACTTATGCTTGATATCTCGCTTAAGGGCTATTAATTCCCCTCTTTGCTTAACCTAACAGCCCGGCCTTTACAAATTTTCTTACATTTGATGTAAAATGATGGCACATTTTGTGTTAATTTTAATTTTTTGGTTATTTTTATCAGAATAAGAAAAATGTTCTGAACATGTTAAACTGTTCAAATTAATTGAACAGTCATATATCTTACTTAAAATGATATTTTCTTGCTTATAACATGAGGACAGCAATGAATCATCTGAAGTTGAGGAATTCAATATTCATTTTAGTCGTTTTTTTCTTATTTATTATTTTTATTTGATATATATATATATATATATTCATCATAATTTTCTGTATGCTCACTAATTGAAAAAAAAAAAATACGTGAGTATTTCACGAACCCCTACGGAACCAAAAAGTCCAAAAAAACCTTAAAATCAACGTGTAAGAGTAGTAATGATATGCACAACGAAGTTCTCTGGCTTTTTATGGATAAAACATCATTAATTTTATGAATAAGATACCTTAGCTTGACGTACTTAACTCAATTTTTCAATCGGGGGTTCACAATAATATTTAATTAATTTTTATACGAATGAAAGGTCCTGCGTGCAGGCGGCAGAAACAACTCAGGAGTAACTTTTTCGAGACATTTGTTATACAGAAGTGAAATTAAATGTTATTAGATGTTTAGTTAGTATGTTATAAAAAGTAAGTATTTTTAGAGAGCACCTAAAACTCCTCAAGCACATCATAAAGTGGGCTCTACCAAACTGAAAGAAACTTTGCACCAAAAGAATAGAAGTGAGGGTCATATGGTAAATTATGACATATCATTATCATCACTTCACTCAAGTATTTGTTCGCCATTACCGCACAACTGGACATTTATTTCAATGACCCACTTCCACTTGCATATATCGTGCATGAGATTTCCTTTTATTTATTGTTTACATTCAACGTGTTATAGAATAGAAATAGTTGCTGTGCTATTTTCACCACCACATGCCATTAATATTACATAGATAGCAATTTCAAAGCCTATATCATAAATCTTTATGTCATCTTAAGATAACGTGCATTACTATTGCAATTATAAGTTCTTATGATATGGAACCCTGTTAGTGACTTAATATTATTTATTAACTCATTTATTGAGATTAGGGTGGGTTTATTTTTAGTATGATGAGTTTTCCTTGGCATATATACAATTAAAACTGAAACTTGATTTTGTAAGGTAAAGCAAAGCATCAGTACTTTGATAGTATTTTGTTGGTGACGGACGGTTTGATTACATCATGCCACGTGCTTAAAGCAAGAAATAGAAGTGCATGAAAGATCAGCCTCGTTGTGGAATTTTAAATGCAAAAGCAATTGTCTAACTACCAAAAATCAATCAATCAGTTGCCTTTTTTGGATGAAAAGGAAAAAATTAGGAGAAAAGAATAATATGGACGAGAGAAAATTAAGTGGAGATCAGAAGAGTGAAACGAAAATATTTTTACTATTTATGTTTGAATAAAGAAAAAAATATTTAAATATATAAAGAAAATGAAAATGTTGTAAGAAAAATATGTGGAGTATTATTTTCTCTATAAAATATTTTTACTTTTCAAATGAATATGAGGATGAGTACCTCCTTTTTTCTTTCATTTGGGACAAATAATTGAAAAATATATTTTTTTCTATATCTTTCTACTTTTGAAATGAAAATTTTGCGAGAAAACATTATATGTCACCTACCTCTATTTTTCTGCTGTATACGTCAATTACTGTTTCTGACTTCTGATGGTGTAGGGGAAGTTTCCTTCTCCACTACTTCCAATTGAAGTTAAAAACATCCACATGGCCAAACATGGGAGTGACTCTGGAGTCTATGATACTGAAGGAAGGTAATAATAAATGTCATTTAATTCATATATACATAAAATCTTGATCTTCTTTGCAGTGAAAATTAACTGCTCAAGCTAATGAGCAATCTATATATTGGACCACTATATCCTTACTCAAGCGATCTTCATGCTCTTAAGTTCCATACGTATACAGTATTTTCTGCTTCTGCCAATTCAGCACATTTTACAGAAGCCTATTCATTTCAATACATTCTTTTATGGATGAATTTGTAGGTTTGTTCCATCGAAATTTGAAGAAATTTTCAAGAAGCATGCAAAAACACGCCCAGATGCTTTAACATATGATGAACTCCAGGCCATGATGAAGGCCAACAGAGAACCTAAAGATTTCAGAGGATGGTAAGTCACTCACAATCTATTGCATGCTCAAACCAAATTGAAGGAAACTAATTCATCAAAGCGTAACAGTTCTAGTCATGTCAGAGGCTCAAACACTTTCATCAAACACATCACACAACATTAATCTACCTTCGAAAATTGGTCCAGTTGGTCAGAATCCTTGCGAGGTGCATGGGGCATGTGTTGAAAATTCAAATCCCACTATGTTTATTAGAATTTCATTAGTATATGATATATATAAGTATCTTTATAAATACTTTTTTAAGTTTTGAGACTTACGATACCTTAGTAAGCTCTCGAGACTTCAGAAGAAAATGAGAGGAAAAAAGGGTCATGACACCACATTCTAGTGTAACGCTAGAATCTTGTTAGGATGTAGGTGTGTGTGTTGTGTTTTATTGTGAGAGATACATGAATGGTGCGTATGTGATGCACGTAGGGTTGCTGCGTACACAGAATGGAAGATCCTATACGATCTTTGCAAAGACAAGGATGGTTTACTGCACAAGGAAACAATCAGGGGTGTTTATGATGGAAGTCTCTTTGAAAGGATGGAAAAGGAGCACTCCGAGAAGAAAAAGAACAAGTAGCCCCAATCTTCAACTCTGCAATTACTACTTTTGGCATGTTCTTTCTTTAATTTTATCCTTTTCTGATTATGTCCTTTAATTTTAAAGAGTTTCATATTTGAATTACGAGGCTTGAATGACTTTTAATTTGTCATGGTGTGTGTGTATATATATATATAATTTTATGAAAGAAATTGCCATACTCACTGAATTTGTTAATTTGATTTAATTAACCCATTAACCTCTTCAATTAAAAAGTTAAGGAAAAAAATCCAACAAGTGTTGATCCTATTAAAAGGGGTTATGATAGTTTAAATAACACAAAATCCCAAGTCTTAATTTGTGCCAAGACAGAAAATATCTTTAAAAAAGCTGTCTCTAATTAGATCTAATAATATTTGAAATTAGATAGTCATATTTTTTAAAAAAGAAGTTTAAAAAAATGACTTATTTTCTGCTTTTTAAAAAATAATTTTTTTTTCGCAAGTCAAACAAGTGAAGGTTCAAAACAATTTTTAAATGCCATTTAGAAAAGGAAAAATAATAATAATAAAATCCTTCCAACTATATAAATAACAATATGATGTTTTAAAATGTCATATTCCATTGAAGTCCTGAGAGATTTTTGTGTCAATAAATTTTAAATTAAGAATGCCATTTTATTTTTATTGATAATTTATAATTTTTTATTCAATTCTTGCAATTCTTTAATTAAAAATTGATATTACTTAAACAAAAATTGTGATTGAACTTTTTTATTTTGATAAATTATTTTTCAATAATAAAAATTATACATGACAAATTGTGATTTTTTGTTGAACTCTTATGATTTACGGAATAAAAATTGTTATTCTTTAATTAAAAGTTGTAATTCAAACTTATTTTTTAATACTAGAGATTATACTTGATAAGTAGTGATTTTTTGTTCAACTCTTGTTATTCACAAAATAAAAATTATTATTCATTAAACAAAAGTTGTGATTGATGCTTGTTATTTTCAATAAGGGTAAAATAGTCTTTTCACTTTAAAATCTATTGACACAAAAATCCCTAAAGATTTCAGTAGAATGATCTTATTTCGAAGGACTGTACTGCTATTTATATAATTTGAAAGAATTTTATTATCACTTTTTCAAATAAAAACCGTTTTTTGAACCATAACCGGACGCATCCTTTCTATGCATTATAAAAAATCTGAAAATTAAATGAGTCACAGTATTTATAATTGATCAATTGTAAGAAACAAGTAAATTTGGTGTAAAGGCCGACTTCTTGTTTTAGGGTGGGGGCCGGGCCAAATGGATTTAACATTATAAATGTGTGTATATACATTTACTCAAATGCGTCATATCATGCATCGAAGAAACGAATTGTGAAGCATCTGATCTTTGGTCTGCCATTTGAGATAAAATTATTCCATTTCTTTCCCCCTTTTTCATTAATGAAAAGCATAAATGCTTTTCCAGATGCTTCCCTCTGTGATGGTTCTTGCTCGATCACCCGAAAAGAAAATGCGATATATATGCATTATGCTTTCTGGCTTTTCAATACAATCAGCATCAACATTTTCCTAAACTGAAGATAAACAAGAATTTCAGTAGAGGAAGGCTCTTATGGAGGAGAGAGCTTTTTCCTAAACTAAAGACAAATGTTTCCTATGTTCCTCTTGTTTTGAGACAGAGTTATAAAGGTTTTGATGTTCTTATTTTCATACAAGTCATTTTACAGAAAATTGTCAGTAAATTGATTGATGTTTTTCCCCCCTAAAATACCCTTAAAATTGATTAAATACTCTTGCTCTACCCACCAAAAAAGTACGAGCGTTTCTCATGCTAAGAAAGTTTGGGATACATTTACAAATATAAACTATTTTTTTTTATACCAACACTCAAACTAATTTTAACTGTTTTCTTGGTCTGTATAAAGTGGGTAATTTGTTTCATAAAAAAAAAAAATAGCGAGAGTATTTATTATGGACTACTATCCAGAAATATTTGTAACTAATCCAAAGGGCGACCTATGTTAGGAAATTAGTAATTTGTTAATTGTGCATCAATATCAAACTTCGGCAACACACTGATGTGATAAACTGGTTGAGTTTTATATATTATGGATCATGGATATCCTAAAATGCGTGGGCCACCCCATGAGCCCATTTAGGGAATACAAACCCAACACACAACCTACACAGATCTGTGATCCATAGTTCTGTACTTCTCTTTCATGTTACCCAAATTGAATAAATGCTTAAATAATCATAATCTTTTTTAGGGAAAATCATTTTAAGGTCCCATAAAAGCATTTAAAATATGCTGAAATCCTATAAATTCATCAAATAGCTGTCAGATCCTCAGGGACTTAAGGGTGAATAAGTTTAAAAATGAAATTACCGATTTGTCCTCTACCATTAAAAAGGAAATTTTGCTTTAACGCACATCTCATAGAACCTATAATCAGCGATACTGAAGATTGCCGTATATCCATGATTGTTGATCACAATAAGATAATTTTTGCTTCGTCATATCCATGATTATTGCCCTTATCTTCATCTAAGCAAGATGGGAGTGTTTCATCAGCGACTGCAGTATTTCATTGATAGAAAACAATACAATGATTGTTGAGCGGGTAAATGATTTTTTGGACGTTAATAATTTCATTATTGTTTAAAGGTAGGATAATGATTTCTGGGTATACATGCGATCATTCGGTTTGCATAGCTAATGGGTATGGATTTATCTTGTGCAACACTGATAAATTGAAAAATATCTTATACCAATAACTCTGCATGTTGTCAATAATGTATTCTTGTGTTGTTAATATGTTATGAATAGTTGTCGATATACTGTATTGTGCAGAATGACTTGTAAGAATGCAAATACTACTGAAAAACATGTATTATATTATGTTTTTTTTTTCATATAGGGGATATTTTATATATTATTCTCAAGCATATAATGCAAGCTTGTTTTGTTAAAAAAATCTCTATTATAAAACAACAATGCATCTTGTCAATAGTGGATAAATGTGTTGTCATTATGCTATGTATAGTTGTCAATATACTGTGCGTGGTATAGGTTGACCTCTAAAATGGCAAATTCTTCTAAAGAACATATATTATATTTTTTTTCATATAGGGGACATTTTCAAAATTATGATCAAGGAAGTATGCAATATATTGGGGGGTGTTAGAACAAGAACAATAAAGGAATAGACAATGTATGAAGAGTTAACAAGAATGATATCATCAAATGACTAGCACATACATGCTCTTGTTTGGCATGGCAAATGAGTAGAATACCCTATATACATGCATGTGCAGCAATCAAGCTGGTTTGTGGCAATGTGTACAATTTTGTAGATGAATGTTACAAGTTTACCACTCAATAGAAGATATATGTCAGCAACATGAGATCGATAGCCACACATGACTGTCCATGTCTATAAGCATTGATGGTGACAAATTTATTAACCTAAACCTGCTTCAAGCTATCAATGACTATAAGGCCTTTGGGTAGGCAAAGCGTAAAAGAAGGAAATCTCAAATCTAAAACAAAAGGGTTTATCATTATACAAGATATCATGAGACTGGTCATACCTTCAAGACTTGCAAAAGTCCTAATCCATGCTAGAAAATATCAGAGACAAGTGTACTTTTTGTTTATATATCTGAAATTTATTTTTTTGTTTGTTGCACCTAATATATCAGCACTTGTCAATGAAGAATGCATAGCTAATCAATGAAGTGATAACTTGTAATCAATGGCCAATGGCAAGTAGTCAATCGGTTCTTATAACTAGTTAATTTTTAAAAGGAATTATTGCACTTAATGTATTAGCACTTGTCAATGAAAAATGCATAGCTTGTTAATATAATGATAACTTGTAGTCAATGGCCAACAACAAGTAATCAACAGGTTCTTGTAACTAGTTGATTTTTAAAGGAAATAACAACACCTAATGTATTAATACTTGTCAATAGTGAATGCATGGTTTGTCAATATAGTGATAACTTGCAGTCAATGGTCAATGGCAAGTAATCAACAAGTTCTTATAACTAGTTGATTTTTAAAGTGAATACCAGTACTTAATGTATCAGCATTTGTCAATGATGAATGCATAACTTGTTAATATAGTGATAACCACTTCTCAATTGCTAACAACAAATAATCAATAGTTTTTGTAACTTGTTAATTTTTAAAGGGAATAACAGTACCTAATGTATCAGTACTTGTTAATGGTGAACGTATAGCTTGTCAATATAGTGATAACCACTTGTCAATATCCAACAGCGAATAATCAACAGATTCTTGTAGTTTGTTGATTTTTAAAGGGAATAACAGCACATAATGTATCAGCACTAGTCAATAGTGAATGTATAGCTTATCAATAAAGTGAAAACCACTTATCAATCACAGTTGGCCACTTGTTAACATTTAATTAATAAAACAAACTATTTGTCACATTTACAAATTCGTAATCACCATTCATAATAACATTGTCTAAGTTAACTACACGAAATGAGCTAACTATATAAAAGGACATGATTATCAATAAATTTATATCCTAAAGTTTTATCAATAATCTTTTATTTCCTCTTCTTCCTTTCTTGAGATCTTTCTAATAAGGGCATGGCTTCATGCTCCTTCACATTGTTACAATAACTCAATAGCCACCACAAGAATTCTATCTTCTTCTTATAGAGGTCATCCTGCACCACAAGTAAATCTTATAAGGTACAACAGAGATTTTTTAACAAAACAAACTTGTATCAAATGCTTGAAAATAATATATAAAATGTTTCTTGTATGAAAAAAAAATAACATAATACATGTTTTTCAATAGTATAAGCATTTTTACAAGCCATCTTGTACGATATAGTGTATCGACAACTATCCATAGCATATTGACAATACAAGAATATACTATTGACAACATGTAGAGTTATTCGTATCAGATATTTTTCAATGCATGAATGTTGCACCAGAAAAATCCATACCAATTAGCTATGCAAATAAAATGATCATAGGTATATCCAAAAAGCATTATCCTACCCTTAACCAATAATGAAATCATTAACGCATAAGCAATTGTTTACTTGCTCAACAACCACTGTATTGTTTTCTATCGATGAAATATTGCAATTGCGGATGAACATTCCCACCTCGCTTAGATGAAGACAAGGGCAGTAATCATAGATATGAGGAAGTGAAAATTACCCTACCGTGATCAACAATCATAGATATGCATCAATCTTCAATATCGGTGATTATGGGTTTCATGAGATATGCGTTCAAGAAATTTTCCTTTTTAATGGTAGAGGAAAAATCAATAATTTCATTTTCAGACTTATTCACCCTTAAGTCCCTGAGAATCTAGCAGCTATTTAATGAATTCATAGAACTTTAGCATATTTTGAATGCTTCCATGAGATTTTAGAGTGATTTTCTCTCTTTTTTAACATCACAAGCTTCCTCCACTCTTATTTATAAATCAATTTAATTATATTTAAAAAATTAATAAGTTTTTAATTTTAATTTTAATTATATTAATATAAATTTTAATACCATATTTACTTCTTTTCACCAAAATTTAAACGGAATAAAATAAAAAACCTTATGACGAAAAGTCAAGAACATGAACAAAACAATTCTTCCCTGCCTTATGAAATTTTTCTAAAAGTTAATGAGTAAATAATGACGTGTGATAATTTTATACATGTAATTGTAAAGGTTGATAATTAAAAATCGCATAAACCTCCGGGGTAATCATCAGGTTGTCAGCTCCTCCGGTCTCCCCTCCATAAACCCTACCAAATATTTAGTTTTTCGCCTTCTCCACAATCTGCGAAACCTCAAGCTATGAATGCTTATTGCATGACCAAGCCTCAAGCACTGGAAAATGAAACTATTTGAAGGCATTTTGATCTCCTTACTCTACAAGATGTTGCTTTTTATGCGCAACCTCTTTCAAATTGGTCGGAGAACTTCCCTCCGAGTAAGCTCATTCGCTGCTTCATATTCTGAAAACCCTAGTTACCCATTTGCCGCTGCGTACGGTGTTTCATCATCGATATCATTTTCTCATAGTTCGTTCATTGCTTGCCCTTTGGTTTGGTTCACTGGCTTTCTTTTTGTATTTAGATTCCCCTTTGTCTCCAAATCGAGCCCCCAATGCTCTCTTGATGATATTAGTTCTGACTCATTGCGAAGTATATTAAAAAATGGCGATTGGGATGATCCAAAAGTGGCTAGTATATTTACATCAGCATTAGCGCCCATTTGGGTGGGCAAGGTTTTGGTCAAATTGAATGGAGATCCGAAGCTTGCCTTGAGGTTCTTCAAGTGGGCAAGAAGCCAAATTGGATTTCGCCACACCACAGAATCGTATTGCATCGTGGCTCACATTTTATTTTGTGGGATGCTTTACCTTGATGCAAGAGAGATACTTAGGGAGTTGATTTTGTTAAATAGAACACTACCGGGTTATGATTTGTTTGATATGTTGTATTCGACAAGGAATGTTTGCCGTCCAGGCTTTGGAGTATTTGATTGTTTATTTAGCGTATTAGTTGAGCTGGGATTACATGAAGAAGCTAGTCAATGTTTTTTGAAGATGAAGAAGTTCATGGTTCTTCCAAAAGTGCGATCCTGTAATGAGCTTTTGCATAGACTTTCAAAAGCAGGCAAAGGGGAATCATCAATGAAATTCTTCAAGAACATGGTTGAGGCTGGTCTTTCACCCACAGTTTTCACATATAATATAATGATAGGTTATTTGAGTAAAGAAGGAGATTTAGAAACTGCTAGGAATTTTTTTGAAGAAATGAAAGGGATGGGCCTCACTCCAGACAGAGTGACATATAATTCTCTCATTGATGGACATGGGAAAGCAGGCTTATTAAAAGAAGCAGTTAATTTATTTGAGGAAATGAAAGGTGTAGGATGTGAACCAGATGTGATAACCTACAATTCTCTAATCAATTGCTTCTGTAAGTTCGAAAGAATTCCTCAAGCTTTTGCCTATCTGCATGAGATGAAGAAAAGGGAGTTGAAACCAAATGTCATAACTTATAGTACGTTTATTGATGCATTTTGCAAGGCAGGAATGATGCTGGAAGCAATTAAATTTTTTGTTGACATGAGACGGCTTGGTCTTCTACCTAATGAAGTTACCTATACTTCTCTGATTGATGCAAACTGTAAAACAGGTAATATGGTTGAAGCATTTGCACTGGCAAATGATATATTGCAGGCTGGATTTAACTTAAACATTGTGACCTATACCACTTTATTGGACGGTCTTTGTGAAGATGGTAGGATGAAAGAAGCAGAGGAGTTATACAGGGCAATGTTGAAAGCTGGAGTGGCTCTTAATGTAAAAACTTATACTGCCCTTGTTCATGGATATGCTAAGGCTGAGATGGCAGAGAAAGCGATCGATATTTTAAAGGAAATGAAGAAGAAAAGCATCAAATCAGATCTATTGCTTTATGGAACCATAATATGGGGCCTTTGCAAGCAGAACAAGATTGAAGAAGCAGAGACTGTAATTCATGAGTTAAAAGATTGTGGTCTAACTTCAAATAGTTACATATATACAACCCTTATGGATGCATATTTTAAGGTTGGGAAAACCACAGAGGCGCTTAATCTGTTTCAAGAAATGCAGGACTTGGGCATTGAGGCAACAGTTGTAACCTTTGGCGTACTAATAGATGGTTTTTGCAAAATGGGACTTATCCAGGATGCAGTTAGTTACTTTGGCCACATGACAAGCATTGGTTTGCAACCTAATATAATGATTTATACTGCTTTAATTGACGGCCTTTGCAAAAATAATTGCCTTGAAGAAGCAAAGAAGTTGTTCAATGAAATGCTGGATAAGAGAATGAGTCCAGATAAAATTATTTACACTGCTTTGATTGATGGGTACCTGAAGCATAAAAATCCACAAGAAGCTTTGTGTTTACGAGTGAAAATGGTTGAAATGGGTATGGAGTTAGATTTGCTTACTTATACTTCATTAATTTCGGGTTATTGTGATTGTGGTCTTGTACAAGAGGCAAAGTCATTGCTTGATGAGATGCTTGTAAAGAATATAATCCCTGATGAGGTTCTTTGTATTCGTCTATTGAGAACATATTATAAGCTAGGAGATATAAGTGATGCTGTGGCTCTGCAAGATGATATGATTAAGAGGAGCCTGATTACTGGACCCATCAATGTCACAGCTTCTTCTATACACACTTGAGAGGGAAATTATCTCGTTCTTACTTCATTGTTCCCAGATATAGTGACCAGCAATTAATATTTTGATGATTGCTTCCGGGGCTGAATAACATAATTGAAATGAACATGATGCCTGATTATGGAAGGGCAATTGCTGGTTCCAATCGATGTTTCTAGAAGGTACTCTGATGTGAGTTCTGCTTCTAGGATTTCTATTGCAAACTTTTGCATGTAACTTGGCAAAAGAATGATATTATTGTTCCAGAGGATAATTCTTCATGGTGAGTGATGATCATCTCGCTAAAATTTTGAATTATTTTCTTTTCTGGGTACTTTCATTGTCCATTATTAAGTTAGAGCCTTTTTCTTGTGACTATTTAAGCTTCATGAAGATTTTCTGATGGCTGTTCCTTGTAGGAATCAACCACGTCAGAATAACAACAACTTTTATAGCAGATGAGAAGGATTTCAGGTACAGTAAATGATTCTTTTATTGCTAAGATGCACAAGGTATTTTATATTTCTTAACCATTTTCATCTTAATATATACATGAAGATATTAGCTTAATCATCATAATTGTGTCATCACTGCAGCCATATTAGTGTTCATATGCAAATTTATTATAGAATTTCAGGGCAACAAGTTTCTCAATGTCCCTTTATCTTTGCATGGTAAATGGTGTACTTGTTTGAGAAAACAAATTGTTCTTGTCTTAAAAGTGTTCTGGATTTTGCAATGTAAATGCTTGCTTCTTTATGCTTTTATTTTTTGGTTGCACATCCAGTATCATGGGCTGCCCTACGTCAACTTGAGGGGACTTAACGGGGGCCCAAACTAACCCTGATTGAGCATTATAAAACCCTTTCAAGTGGCTGGCTTTACCATCGAGTTTTGATGTTTGTTGTATTCCTACAGCTTGAATTCGAGGTCACTAGTTAAGTTGGAATAACCCCCTATTGGTTGATCCAGCCATCCAAGAACTCAGTAGTTTTATGCTCTTTTTTTTTAATGACCCCCGAAAGCAATTTTGTCTTCTTCAATCTCTATAAGCAATCTATAGAATAATAAATACTATTTGATATTACAACTCCGTAGTTGATTGAGCTAGCTAACCTCTGCAACTCCTGAGCTCTCTCTTTTTCCTGAGTCCTATGTGCCACTTGCACCTTCAACTTTCTCCCATATTTATCTGACAGCTGAGAGTTCTTCGAGCAAGTCTTGGATTTATTTTGTATTACTTTGTTGCTATTTGGGATTGCCAGAGTTATGATTGTTGGATTTGGAACTAATAAGCACTACAAGTACAAGTTTTGATAGATGGCTTGTGATAAAATTATTTTTCTGTACAGGCTCCACATCATGTTCTTATTTCATGCATAAACAATTTTCGGTTACAAACCAAATGCGAACCAAATGCATGCCAGCAGGCTTGAATTGGAGGTACCTTAGCATCCAGATTGCCCACGTGCTTGGAATCAGGGGGATTACCCATCTTAAAGGATCTTATATATTTAACCTTGTTGGGTTGGCATGGGAAGCTGTGGTTGTTATTATTTACTCACTTCAAAGCTGAGAAGAATTATGGCATCTCGACTCAAGTGGTCATACATGTTTAGAACTGGATCAAATCTATGAGAACCTCTACTGCTATGAGCTCATTCGATGAAGAGATTGCCCATGTATTTATTTTTCCCACATTCTCATTGTCTTGAATGTTGGAAAGGTTGCTTCTCTTGATCCAAGGCACTAGAGAAGTTGGGAAGGATACTTGCATTCAGACTTTACCTTGAGAACAAGCTAGTTTTCAAGGGAGTGACAATTGATGGCAATTCAAGCGCAACGCATGAAAGCATGTATGACTTGACCCAAAACTCAGCCCAACAACCTTGAGTGGAGAAAGTACAGTTGTCTGAAGTTAATACTACAACATGAATTATGGAGAGTATTTATATTTATTAGGCCACTGGTCCTTCGTAAAATAATGTGGATTCACATTGGAAGGACATCATTTGAGGGTTGTTATCTTGATTTTTTCCTTTTACTTGTTTATTTTTGCTTTTGTTAAAATCTGAGTATTCTAACCTGGCAAGGCAAGCAAATGATCCGTCATTTTTTGTAGTTATAGTTTCACCCTCATGATATATAAGTAAAGGACAATTTTGCCTTGTCACGGACCCTGCCCCTTCATCCTAATCTCCAAATTCTTTAGTTTATCCTTTTTGGATATCAAGTTTGATTGGATCTGTCATTTTGCGTTGTTCTTGGTTTTCAATATTTCAACTAATTCATTCAATTGTCTCTTTATCCAAAATGACTTGCTACTCGCGCGCTTGCATCCGCCAGCGCGCTTGCGGACGGAGAGAACAAGTCTCAATTTTACAAATGAGAATTTTTTGGGTTGTTGATAAAAATTGTTCTGGTCAGTAAAGATGGGTGTTAAAAGTTATGCAGGCTTGAACTCGATTTCCTCTATTGATACAAGTGCTTTGTTCGTTGGAAGCAAGGTAATTTAATTTTAAATTTTTTATTTTTTAAAATAGAATTTAATAACTAAAAATAATAATTACATTAGAATTAAAATTGTAATAATGTAAGTAGATTGGTGTCATTTTCTTTTTTGAAAAATTATGTTAAATCGGTTAATATAATCTTTTATGTAAATATACTTTTCATATTTATCTCAACCATTAAAATATTACACATTTAACTTGATTTTGAACCCAATTTTTTTTTATTTTTTATTTAACCCAAATATTTGATTAAATAAAGATCAAGAGTAGAAAGTGTAAAGATATAAAATTTACATATGTTACTTACTTCCTCTATTAAAAAATATAAAAAAAAATTAATTGAATATTACTTCTCAATAAAGTAGTTACTTATTTTTAAGCTAAACCATTATTTTGATAGAGTGTTTTATCCTAAAAAAATATAAAGTAATCTATTCAATAGGGACACTTAAAAGAAAAAAAGATAATGATTACACTTTAAAAAATTAAAAATATCTTACATTTTTAAATATCTAATTCTTCAAAAAATATCTTACATTTTAAGTCATTTTTAATTAATTTACATTCTCCAATAAATTGGTTAATTGTTTTTAAAATCACACATTATTTACATGTTTATATTTATTTAATAGGATGTCTTAGAGAAATCTTATAAATTACAACTTTAATTAAGAACACTTTTTTTTAAAAAATTTATTAATTACACCTTAAAAAGACAAAAATATTTTAGAGAGAATTTCAGTTAAGGACTTAAAAAGACACATAATTTCTAATGAATTTTTAAAGAATTTAAAACTTCAATCTAATCCTCCAAGATAGAATTGAAAATAACTTGAATGTTGAAAAGACAAAAATGCCCCCTGTTCAAATATTAAAAAAAAACTAGTTCAGTTTGCATGTGATAGTGGGAGAAAGAGCAAGATGTTTTTATGAAGAAAGAACTGCCATCAAGGTTCATTTTTCATCTTCAGTTCTCCTCTCCATCTTCATCTTCATCAAGCTCTTAGCTTTCCAATTTGCATTCTCATCTCCGACCAGATTTCGGTTGATGTTTTCACTCCCATTTTGAGGGATTTCATCTTTCATTGTTGACGACCTTCACACAAGCATGTCTACATTGTGCTTTTTGTTAGGTTAGTATTTCAACCATGTGATGACATGAAGACCGCATTCATATTTGCATTGTGTAATTTCAAAACACACAAATTGGGTGTATGATAATAAAGTATACTCTCATATAATTTTATTATTCAATATCACTTGTTAATCTCATACATTACACTCGTTAATTTCTTGGATTCACTTGTTATCAAGGTTCATACAATTTATATACTAACAGACATTATATTCAATCTTACTTGTGGATCTCATATATTAGCTTTGTTAATTTCCTAGGTTTACTTGTCATTTTGCTTTCTACAATTTATAAATCAGCAACCTAACATATATGTTGTTAAATTACTATTAATGACTAGCAAAATATTTAACAACACTAGCAAATCATCAAACTAAACTTCATCATTTTTTGTAAAATCATATTCCAATTTCAAAACATAAATCATGCAGGCAAGAAAGGGTCAAAAATTAACACACCCAACAAGTTCTTGATAAGGGAAAAATGCTTTACATGAATAGGGGAAAATGGTTAACAAACTTACTATTAAAAAGAAGAGACATATCAATGATTGAGTGTATTTGGGAAAGAGAAGGAGACACAACTTTCTCACTTGCGTGCCAGTCGTGAATGGTGAAAGACAAAATCCCTCAAGATGAGGGTTAAAACATCAACCAAAATCTAGCCAAAAATTCGGACGTAAATCAAAAATTCAAGAGCTTGATGAAGATGAATATGGAGAAGAGGAACTAAAGATGAAAAATGAACCTCAATAATGGTGCTTTCTTCAGAACAACATCTTGCTCTTTCTCCCACTATCACATGCAAACTGAACTGATTTTTTTAATGTTTGAACTAAGGATATTTTCTTCTTTTTTGCATTCAAGTTATTTTCAGTTTAATTCTCAATTTCAATTTCTTTAGAAACCCATTAGAAATTATGTGTCTTCCCAAATCCTTAACTGATATTCTCTCAATATTTTAATATGATAGTTTAGAAAAAAAAATGTTTTATAATTTTGAAAAAGGGAATAGATCTATAGGTTATTTATCCTAACCTAGATCTCTCAAAAATCAAAAGACTGGGACGCACGCATGCTGATGCAGACAATTGCACACTTTCTATTTACATAATTAAATGCATTTCCCAAAAATGTGAAAATCCTTAGGAAAGAGCTAATTTATACAAGGGCTATGATATGACAAAGACAAACACAAACCCAATATTCTATGGAATCTGGATTCACTATGAACACACAATATCATGTTCCGATCCTCTTTGAACCACACTCAGAGCAAAATTTAGATGTTTCTCTCAGGAATGGAGCACCACATTCATCACAAAACTTTGCAGGACTCGATGGCTGCAACACAAAAGTGAAGTTGCCAGTCAGGAAAAGGATAGCAGTTATATCAAGGTATCTCAATCATCAAAATCAAATGCTCTGTTAAATTCTCTTGGAGCATTAGGAAACAATCCTAAATCTCCAACTTTAATAGAAGCCCAGAACACCGGTAGAAGAATGAGAAAGAACGAATAGAATTGCAAATCTGTATTTATTAAATCGAATCAGAGCTTAAAAACCCAGGCGCAGGGCCATAACAATAAAACACACGCATAAAACAGCAACGATGACTAACATGTGCCTCTTATCAGAATATAGAAGCAAATTCATTTTAGTTAGATTCGGAAATATGTTGAGATGACTAAGGAATCATCATCCACATTTCCCAACAAGCAACATGGCTGTTAGTATTTCTATACTTCTCAGACATTATTGCTGTTAGAAATAGCGCAGATAATGTTATTTCTTATCTCAGATATAACGGCATATGTGCATATCAGTTATCATATTCGTCCCTTGTATCCTTACTTGTAATTTACTCATCGTAGCTTCCTGATGCCAATAAATACTAAATACTCGTGTATTATGATGCTTCGATGAACATACATGACTATTCTAGACAACTTGTAATGGCATAAGAACCTTAAGATCTTTTTAAAAATATTCCTGTGCGATTATTGCCATTTTTACATTTCCACTTAGGCCAATGGCCCTCATTGTCACCGACATCTATCTTTCTAGACCAGTCTGGTTTACAATTGACCCAAACATCCTGAGAAATCACAGGGCATTTTAAGTGCTTTGGTCCAGATATGAATCTTAGACAATAGGAGCTTTCAAATATTTCGTTAGCTTTAGTTTAAGCCTTATTGTGATCAATTGAGATTTAAGTGACAGTTTTTTTTTTGGCCTGCTTTCATATGATATAGATTTATATATCCAAATATTTTCAATCAATAAAGTTTAGAGGATTAAAAAAAAAAAAATTAAACACTCAATTTTTACAAGATATACTCACCAGTATATGCAGGCGTCCACCAACATGGCCACCTGTGAGTGGTTGTAAACAGGGTAACTGTTGAGATATTGTTGGTGACTGGTGAGCATGAGAAATTTCAGATAAATGTGAGGATGGACCACAGTGATGGTTGTGAGACTGAGAATAGGGGCCTGGTTGCTGACTCTGATGCATAGTTTGATGGTTCTGGTGAACTGGATGAAAGTGAGGCTGATGTGTCAAAGATTGCATGTAATGTTTGCATGGAGTTTGCTGCTGACTTGGTGACTGAAAAACACATGAAGAAAACAAAATAGTTCCTATATTATAATGCATCGGCAAGATCAAAACAAGGCATGTCTTCTCATCAGTTCAAGGGCAGATTGACAGATTCACATTGACCATTAGGATTGCAGTGAAAAAAGGGCATGGAAGAATTATAAAGAATTTGATCTTGAGAAATAGTTGCATGACTTTTGACGCAATTGAGGGAAAATGTATATGATTTAGTTGAAAGATTAACATAATATATACTTTTTGACCTTGAAATTACATTTAATGTTACCTTTGTCCCAATTTATAAGATATTTTCAAATAAAACTACACATACTAATAAAGCTCATTAAATACACTTTACAATCTTATTTTTTCAAAATAAAAATAAAAAATTTCAAAAATACCCTTCATTTAATACTCTATTTATGAAAGAATATTAAAGAGATAGAATATATAGGAAAAATAATATTGAAAAAGTATCATTAACGAAACTTTATTTTTGACAAAGTGTCTTATATTTTGGGACACTAAATCTCCCTTAAAAGTGTCTTATAAATTGTAACAAAGGGAGTACTATGTAGACATGAATACATATAAATCATGATTTATTGATTTACTCAGTTTTAAAATAGAAGGTTTTTGGAGCCGCTAATGAGGACAGTGAAATAGATAGTTTTAAGTCATATGAAGAGAGGTAGAGAAAGAGTAAAGAGAACACTTAAATGAAATTATTGAATGACACCTTATGGTTAATAATATATCACAGATTTAGTTTTTGATAGAGTACAATAGGGTCACCCAATCTGTGTAGCCCATCTAGTAGGATAATGCCTGTTGCTGTATTTAGTTTTATGTGTCTTCACACTAGTTTAGTGAACTTTGATAAAATTAATGATATTGATAATTTTGTTCATGTTACAACTTAATAGTATATAATTATACCCATTTATATAAAGTTCACCTAGCTATGTATCATTTTCTTACCATATCTTACAATACATATGATCCCCAATTCACAATATACTTTCAAGTTCACAGCAAATGGTGCAATTTGCAAATATGGTTTTTGATTTCCAAACATATGACTCAAAAGAAAATACTTAAAATGTGGTTACAATATTTACCATCATCTCTGCAATCTACAACTGAATTGTATTGGAGTGACAAAAACACTAATTGCTGACCAATAAATTAGAATACAAACTTATAATAAAAGCAAATTTAACTTGTGCTTCACTTACAGAGCGGAATCCTTGAGAAGTAGTCAACGTAGTAGAGTTGTCAGCTCCAGGAAAACTCTGTAGAATTGAGTCAAGTCAGGACCATGAAACACTACAAAAAGTTTCGATTAGTAAAAGCCCATAAGTTAAAATGCAGTTACCCTCTCAATATTTTATCATGAAGCTATTAGTGTAGTTTTATAAATATCAATCATGATTATGGAGTCAAAAATAGCCAAGTGCATAAATTGATAATTTTAGCTGAGGCTGCTGAGCCATCTGAACTTCATCGTAATGGTTCTTACATATAAAATGCAATTTTTGTAATGTTTAAAAAGTTGCAATCACAGAAACATCTCTTGGAATCTAAAAGAAGCATTTTATTTGCCAAAGTGAGTCGCACTATGCTTACAGGTAGACCAGAGATATTGGGTATCATGTTTGATGCTGCACGCCTAAACTTGTGCCTTGGAGAATAAAATTTATAGTCACGTTCAGAGATAGCAACCTCATGGCGACCTGTCAATCTCTTAAACCTGAAACAAACAAGTAAGACAAGCATTCACAGTTGGTAGAGTGAAACACCATAATGCTCAACTTACCACTCAGCATCAGCAATAGGCATGTTATCTGGTTTTTCAACAATATTCAAACCATTGACTACCACAAAGCGAACACGCTTCTCTTCTTGAATTACTAGTTCTGGAAACCTTGTCCTTGTTTCCACAGAAGTTGCTAATTCTCTTCTCTTGTACGTAGTACATGGACCTAATGTGCAGTAACTTGATAAACACATTAGTGAATCAAAAACTTGTGAAGAAAAATAAATAAAAGTCCATCTACATCACAAATGCGAAAGTCAGTCTTGTTTTAGAGGATGAGTAAAAGAAGAGTGCGTAAACTAAAGCCTTATAGAACTTCTCATTATAATATATAAACTAAAATGTTATAGAACTTCAGAATTGTGCTAAATACAGAGAAATTAAACTTGTGAGTCATACTATGAAATTATGGGAAAGAATGATTGAGCATAGGTTGAGATTGAAAACTGATATTTTTGAGAATCAGTTCGGCTTCATGCCAGATAGGGTGACTACAAAAGCAATTTATCTACTAAGAGGATTAATGGAAAAGTATCGATGCAAAGGTAAAAATTTACATATGGTTTTCATTGATATGAAAAAAGCTTATGATCGTGTATAGAAAGAAGTACTTTGAAAGGCATTCGAAAAAAAGAGTGTCTAGGTTGCCTATATTCGAGCTATACAAGACATATATGAAAGAGAAACAACTAGTATAAGAACGTCTAGTGGTGAAACAAAAGACTTTCCTATAAAGATTGAACTACATCAAGGATCATCTTTGAGTCTTTATTTGTCTGACCTAGTCTTAGATGCTTTGACTGAGCATATTCAAGAGAAAATCTCTAAATGCAAGCTTTTTGCAGATGATATAGTTCTAATTTGCAGAGATAAAAGAAGAGATTAATTGTAAACTTGAGTTATGGAAGAGGGCATTGGAGTCAAAAGGTTTTCGCCTAAGTAGGAGTAAAACGGTACATTTACATTGTAATTTTGATAAGGGCTCAGTAAGCAGTAACTTGGAAGTGAAACTGAGTGATTAGATCATACCTCAAGTAGAAAAGTTTAGATATTTGGAAGCAATTATTCAACATAAGGGAAAAATTAATGGAGATATTGCGCATAAGATATAAGTTGGGTGGTTTAATTAGAGAAAGGCTAAAGGAGTTATCTGTGATTATAAGGTATCTAATAAACTTAAAGGAAAGTTTTATCGAACTGCTATAAGACCAGCAATATTATACAATAATGAATGTTGGGTTTTAATGAAATAGTAAGAGCATAAAATTGGAGTAGCAAAGATGAAAATGTTGAAATGGATGTGCGAATACAAATGTAACAGCAAATTTCAAAATGAGCGAATACGGAAAAAAGTAGGTGTTGCACCTATTGAAAAAAAATGGTAGAAAATCATTTAAGGTAGTTTGGATATATACAAAGAAGGCCACCGGAGGCACTTGTAAGGATAGTGGAACAGATGACTTTGAGTCCTATCAAGAAGGGTAGATGAAGGTCAAAGAGAACACTTTTGGAAGTGGTTGAGCAAGATCTTTTAATCAACAATATTTTTAAAAAAAGTTAATAAATGATAGAGCATAATGGTATTATATAATCCATGTAGCCGACCCCATCTAATGAGATAAGGTTTGTTGTTGTATAATATTATAGTATATAAAATTAATAATATATTAACTAAGTTATGATTGGTTTGACTACACTCTACAGTCCCGCTGGTGAAACTTGAACTAATTCCTCGATTGGTTTCAGGGCTGATCCAATTTTCATAGCATTGGAAGAGGCAAGAAAATTTCTGTACCTTTCTTTGGAAATTTTTTGGCGAGTCTTCTGTACAAACCACCAGCTGCTTCAAGCGCTACCCCAATTGTCTTTTCACGAATACCATTCAAGGAAGCGATCCGGATGTTGACATCGTTTACTAAACTTTCATACATATTTGCAATATACATCAGAGGTAAAGCAAAATTCGAATCTCCTTCATACTGGACCTCTCTTGTCTTCCTTTTATTAAGCTTGTCTTGCGCAGACTGAGCAGTGGAATCAGCCTCAGAATCAGCCACTTCAATTACATGATCATCAATAAAATGATCCACAACAATTTGTAGAAATCTTGCCCTTGCTGATTCAATGGGGGAAACGTCTAGTTTGCAGTTGTAATAAAATGAGTTTACAACAACTTCATCTTAAATGACCACATATATTTAACCAAAGACCAAAATTCTTATCAACTAAAAGAATAAATAAGTCCAGGAAATTTTAGTACTTTACCATCAATGGTCAATATATCAAAAGGGTCCCTTGAAGAGTCGTTATTCTCGAGACTGGAGCGATCCTCTTCAACTTCAACATTGTGAAGTGGTAAAGAATTCCCATGGGGTTCATGCATGCAGTCCTGCGAAACAGGTACAAATTGTCCGTGTAATTGAATTACTCTACAACCACAAAAATATAATTTCTTGCTCAAGCACGCACATCAACCCGCCACCTGAACAATTGAACAAACTAAGCACTACGGAGATCCATGATGACAAGGATAAGGGAAATGAATCACATAAATTTAGTGAAAGAACAAATAATGTAGTGCTTGTATGAAAACTGAAGTTTTGCATTAGCTCTGTTTGAAGCATCGCATATGTATTGGCCACGATACAGGTCCCAATTTTAAGCTTAACACTTACTACGGCACCATTATCGTTATCATTGTCCAAGCTATCTTCGGTGACAGCTTCGCGATCGACCTCGGCTTCCATGTCGTCCAGATCGGAGGTCCTACTCTCAACGGTGTTGAGAACGTGGAGTGGGCTCTCAATGAACGAAGTGGGGGAGTTGAGATTATAGTGCTGCACAGGAACCCTAGTACCCATTTTCCCCCGACTCGGGAGATGAAAAATAAAGGGTGATTTCAAAGTCAAAAATCAGCCAAATTCGAGAATTTCTGATAATTCTCCACCTTGAGTAGAAAAGCTTGGTTACTGCAAATGAAGGAGAGAGAAGACATTAAATTGAGGGATACAGAGAAGAAGTAGAAAGTTGAAGGAGGGAAAGGGGAACGAACCAGAGCCCAACGGCTATACAGAGAAGGGAGAGACAAGGAGGGAAAGAATCCAAAGCTGAGACCATACCTGAGGTCTGCGGCAGGTCAACGCAACCACCAAACCTAGGTCCGACCTAAACGCGACTTGCCAAACCGGTGCTTTCCGAGTTCCGACTTCTAACCAAAATTTGTCTATTTTCTGGTTGCTATTTATTTAAAAAATGGTACTTTTAGTTCGCACATTTTAATTGGGCTTTTATATACATCCTTACACTTTATTTTTATTGATTTAAATTCCTATACTTTTCTTGATCTATAACATTAATCCTTATATTTACATAAAAATATTGACATAATTCAAATGGTGTTAATAATGCCAACATGTCAATGAACACCATTAATTTTGTCTTTATATATCAAATTGATGCTAACATAAAATTTTTTAATTAAGAAAAATTAAAAAAATTTACATCAAATGAAATAAAAAAGATGATTTGGACTCTTTAAATAATCAACAAAATGCACAAATTCTATATAGGATTTTTTTCTAAAAAAATCTTATTAAAATTTTCATGTTAACATCAGTTTGCATTTAAGCACAAAATTAACATTCTTAATTGACATTTTAGTATTATTAACACTGTTTGTACCACGTTAACATCTCTCCAAAAATATAGGGAATAGTGTTGTAGATGGAGGAAAGTGTAAGAACTTATAACATCAAAAATAAAGTGTAGGAATTTATATTAAAACTCAAGTAAAATGCAATGACCAAAAGTAATATTGTTCCTTATTTATTTTACTTTAATAAGAGGTTGTATTAGTATTTTGTAGAGCCATTAATTCAAGTAAGGCGAGCTTATTTGAGTCGAATGCAATTCAAGTTGGACTTATTTAGATCGAACTCAAAGTATCTTAACTTTTAAAAAAGCTCATATAGTTAAACTTAACCCTAACTTTTTTTTCGAGCGGGTTTAGGTTAGCTCATCAAATTAAAGCTAGTAATTCTTGTGACTTAGTTTATTCAAGTTAGGTTTAAAGTATCATATCTTTTTTAAAAAAATCCATATAATCAAGCTTAGTTTTAATTTTTTTTGAACGGGTTCGAGTTAGCCCGTCGGGTTTTATCCAAATTACCAGCTCTAATATTTTGGCTAGACTTCTATACTTAATCTTATATACTTAATATAATTTTATTTAATCAAATTAAGAATCAAGAATAATATTAATAAAAAAATTTGTTATAGAATAAATAATTTATCAAAGATGTATGTGTCTTAATTAATTGAAAACAACGTAAATTTCTAAATTACTTTAATTTTTAAAGAAATTTAGCACAAATATACTCCACCACCAACAACAAATTATAATTTGCTACTCAAAGTAAAAGGTAAAGTAACGCCCTTACATTTTAGGAAAAAGTAGTCAAAGATTTAACCATCAAATTAATTGCTAAAAAAGCATTAGGGAGTTTTGAAAAATGAGGTCTTTTGATGACAATATTATAGTGACATTAAAAGACCAAAATGCCCCAAGTAAATGAGATTTGAAAATAAAAAAATGTTTTGATCAGTAGAATTTTGAGGGTGGTGGAACTTGTAAAGGACAAACAAAGAAGATGAAGAATTGGTAGTGTCAACAACTTGTTAGCTGGTCAGCCACTTAAGGAGTACTCAAGCAATATCCAAGCAACACTGGCAGTGGAATTTAAATTTACACAACTTTGGATTTGAGGTGCATTACTTGACAACCTTAATCTCTATTTCTCAATAAGTATTGTGTTTTTCATGATAACGATATAGTATATTTGAATAAATGAATGTCCTTGGGCTCTATATGCTTATTTTTCATGAAAACTAGAATACATAGCATGAAAATGATTATGACCTTAGGCTCTGTATGCTTATTTTTCATGAAAAAATGAATACACATCCTGAAAATGATTGTGCCCTTAGGCCCTATATGCTTATTTTTTATGAAAACAAGAAAACATATCCTGAAAACTAAAACACGGTACCACTTTTTAAAAAAATGCACCTTTAAGAAAGATTCGTTGCATATGAAGACTAATACATGCATATATAGAAGAGTTCTGAACATGAGAGAGCATATTGCATCACAAGGAGACCTTTTACATATGCATGATAACTTTCTCATTCTTCAAAAGAGTATTGCATTCCATTGAAGATACATCCATTTATATGAAGACTAATAGCATATCCTTGAAGTTATATACACCCTCTAGAAAATGAACATCCAAGAAGATTCATTGCAAATGCTAACTGATTACATACATATATGAAAGAGTTCTGTACATGATGGGAGCCTATTGCATCATAGGCAGACCTTTTACATATGCATGGTAACTTTCTCATTCTCTGGAAGAGTATTGCATTCCATTGAAGATGCTTGCATCTATATGAAGACCAATTGCATATCCTTGAAGTCATATGTGCTTGCTAAAAAATACACATTTAAGGAAGATCTATTGCATTTGTGGACTGATTACATGCATATATGGAATTGTTCTACACATGAAGGGAGACTATTACATCACAAGGAGGCCTTTACATATGCAAGGATACTTGTATATGTTGTTGAAGATGATTGCATAAAGGGGGGAAGGTATATGTGTAACATCTCAAAAATTATTTCTTAAATTAATTAAGCTAATAAAAGATAAATATGTAAATTTAAGTATAAATGGGTTTAAGGATAGTTAGAGATAGCTATTGAGTTTGGTTTTAGCATTTAGATTGGGTTCAACAGTGAATTAGGCCACCCAAGCTCAAATTGTAGAGAAAAAATTGGATTTTGGCCTATTACATTATGTTGCAGTGTAAAAATTTATGTTGCAACATAATTTTTAAAATCAATCTTTTTAAAAATGTGAAAGCAATTCAAAAATAGAGGAAAACACTAAAAAACAAAGAAGGGGGTGACAGAGAGTGTATTTCTTTTGCTAAGGCATCAACTTTCGAGCATTTTAGAACTTGATTTCACCTAGTTTAGTCTTCCTTATCTCTTTTTCTTCTCTCTATACATTTTAAAAGTGAGATTTGAGGTTGGGAGATGATGATTTTCTGACCTAGGGATATGAGTCCAAACCCATTAGTCTAAATAAGACTAATGAGAGTTATTTTGAGTTGTCTAAACCTAGCTTTGATGAGTTTGAGCATCTTTGAGCTTAGGCTCATTAGTATGAATGAAATTATGCTTTAAAGTACCATAAATGTTGGTACATGAGGTAGATGATTGCCATTGATGTTGATTAAGGATGGTGTTAGTGTTAGTAAGAGTTAGTGAGAGTTAATAAACCTAATATGGTAATTAAACTCAAGAGTTGAGAATTTTGAGTGATTAAAGTGTTTAAATTTGAGAGTTAAAAGTGAGTAATTTGTGATATTGGTGATGATTTTGGGTTGTTGGATAATATATTAGTGATTATTTAAGTTATTGAGAGCTAAATGAAGTTAATGAGAGTTAAGGAGTTCATTGGATATGAGGTTGATCTTGTAGTTGGGAATTTTGGTTATTAAAGTATGAAATTAGATGTTGGAAGTGGTGATTTTGATGATTATTAGTGATAGGTGTTAATGTTAAATTATAAACTAATCCCATAAAGCACCAGTGAGCTTGAATTTAGCTTGTAAAAGTAAGTTATAATTGAGGGATAACCTTTGACCTCTCAAAAGTTTGAGGTAACCAAGAAAAATTTAGTTTATACATTTATTTATTAATTAATTATAACTATTTATCATTGAATAGAAAATATGAGTATGTTTTTTTAATATATGAAAGAATAAAAATTGTGGCACAAAGTTAATATTTAATGGTTTTTTTGTGAAAAAAATTTGATTGTGTGAAATTATTTCTTATGCTTTGTTTAAACATGATTTGAAGAAAAACATGAATTTGAGAAGTGATGAAATTGTGATGGGAGTATAAAAGAGTATGAGAACAATGAGTATGATACGTGTATGCTATATAAAGAACTTGATGAATAATTGCATATATTATATATTAGCCATGATTTCATTGCATGATCATATAAGATGAGGGTTTCGCCTATAAAGAAAGGAGTAGATATTGGAAATCCACTTAGTAAGACCGCTATTCGGAGCTCGATGACTTGTCTCTTTATTTTATTATCCCACTTGTTCTTTGAGGGATTGTCCTACTTGATTATCGAGGGACTCGAATCTAACTAGTCTTCATTGGTTCATGAGAAAGTTAGATTAGAGATAGAACATCCTATGGTTGTTAGTATTATGAGAAACCGTGACTCAAAAGTGAGTATAATAGCCTTGGCCAAGAAGCTCCTCACAAGTAGAAGGCTTGGGCAATTCGATGACAAGGACGAATTCCACTAAACAGCCACATATTTCATGTCGGAGGTATCAAGAGGGTATAAAGTTGGTATTGATCATGCATATCATTATATGGCCACATGATTGTTATTTTTGTGATCTTGCACATTTTATAAAGGTTACATGGTTGTAAGTGTTATGATTCTTGCATGCTAAATAATCTAATATCATATGGTTGTTAGTTTTGTGACTATATGAATTGGGTGATTTAAGATGTGAATAAGTTTCATTTGAAAATGACATTTGCATCACTATAATTAATTAACATACATTTGTATAGGTTTGATTAACCTTGATTATTAAGGGATTTTACTTACCCCTCTATTTAATATTTTACAGGCATTAGTTCCGAGCAAGACAAAGGAAAAACACCAGAGGCTTAGGAATTCGATTTCCTACTATAGGCCTCTCGTAATTTTAGTTACATATGTATAATTAATTGATATTGCCAATCAGGATGCTCATATTTTGTTATACTTGCACCATTGAATATTGAGTATTGAAATATTTATTTTGGACCCTAATGCATATGGTATCTTTTAGTTAAAATATTTGAGCAAAGCCAAAATACTTGTATAAGTAAGGAGTGAGTATATTTGTGAATGATGATGATTTTGATGTGAAATTACATGATTTGGCCCCCTTGTATTTTTATGATCGAGGGGTTGAATAGTGAAAATATGATATATATGTTGTTTAATTGTTGTGGTGTATTGCATGAGTCCATTATAGCTTATTGAGTATGGTCTAAAAGTTAGTGTGGGATTTTGGCACTTGGATTAAGTTTTGCATACT